ATATTTAATGAAAAAATAAGTAAAGATAATGTGCTCTTAAGTTAAACTGCTTAAGTTTCAAATTGTGGAACTTCCACTTATGGACCATATGGCTTTGGCAATTTTTTCTTTTTTTTTTTGTCATTTTGGGTTTTTTTTTTCTTTTTGAGACAGGGTCTCTCTGTAGCCCCAGCTGGCCTGGAACTTGCTATGTAGCCCAGGCTGGCCTTGAACTCACAGGGATCTGCCTGCCTCTGCCTCTGGAGTGCTGGGACTAAAAGCATGCACCACCACGCCTGGTCTGGCTGTGGCAGTTTTGTTGGTCTTTTTGAGCTGGGATTTCTTCAACTATAAAATGTAGACAAAAATAGTACCTACCTTATGAAGTTCCAGAAAATAAGAAGAGCATACAGGGAAAAAAAAAAAATGCACACAAACGTGCTCTGACACATTTCAAATGGGCAAAAAATTTTAAGTAGTATCGCTATTACTCTCAAGTGTGTCTCAAATGTTAAAACTGAGAAAAACATTCTTTCCAAAACATATTTTGTTATTCATGTATCTGAGTGTTCTGCCAGCATGGTAAGTTTAAGTGTACCATGTGCATGCAGTACCCACCGAGGCAGAAATTTCCCTAGAGCTGGAGTGGTTGTTAGGGTTGTGGGGAAAGAACATTTACTCACTGTAGGTGGGAGTACAGATTGGTGCGCCCACTATGGAATCAGTGTGGAGGTTCCTCAAAAAGTTAGAAGTAGGCCGGGCATGGTGGTGCACGCCCTTAATCCCAGCACTTGGGAGGCAGAGGCATGCGGATCTCTGTGATTCAAGGCCAGCCAGGTCTACATAGTGAGTTCCAGGCCAGCTGGGGCTACAGGGAGACCCTGTCTCAAAAAGACAAAAAAAAAGTTAGAAGTAGATCTCCCACATGACCCAGCCATAGCCCTCTTGAGCATATACCCACAGGACTCTATATTCTACTACACAGATGCCTGATTATCCATGTTCGCTATTCTATTCACAATAGCCAGGAAACAGAAACAACCTAGATATCCATAAATGATGAATGGATTATCAAAGTATGGTACATTTATAAAATGGAATTTTATTCAATGTTTAAAAAAACAAAATTATGAAACTCACAGGTATATGGACAGAACTGGAAACAATCGTCCTAAGTGTGGTAACCCAGACTCACAAAGAAAAACACCGTGTGTTCTCTCTAGTCAGTGAATGCTAGCTTTGAATCTTGACATATGCATATTTCAATTGGAAAATCCATAGAGGCCAGAAACTAGTGAGGGGCCATATTGGGGAAGGCTTCATGGGAAGGGAGACAGGATGCAGTAATATAAAGCAGCACAACAGAGTAATGGAGTAGGAAGGGTAAAATGGGGTGGGGAATGGGAGGACAGGGCAGAGGAGGGAAGTATGGGGAGTGATAACTAACACTAAAGGCCTTCTGAAAAGTCTATTTTCATATGGAAACCTACCACTATAGAGGCTTCTTAAGGATATACACATTCAATATAAAGAGTTTAAATAAGGCATGGTGGTGAACACCTTTAATTGTAGCATTTGGGAGACAGAGATTGTGAGATTGAGGCTAGCCTGGTCTACATAGCAGTTCCAGGTCAGCTGGGACTAGAGGGAGACACAAGAAAAGAGTTCAAATGGAATTGCCCTATAACGGGGACAATGTCCTTACCAAACACAAATAGGCTAGCAAATGAAAAGCCCAATGCTGGGGCTGGAGAGATGGCTTGGCGGTTAAGAGCACTGACTGCTCTTGCAGAGGACCCAGGTTCGAGTCCCAGCACCCACATGGCGGCTACAAACCATCCTTAATTCCAGTTCCAGAAGAATCCAAAGCCCTCTTCTGACCTCCACAGCACTGCACGACATGGGTGCGCTCACATACATGCAGGCAATACACTCATCCACATAAAATAAAAATATTAAAAAAAAAAAAGCCCAATACCAGGAATAGACTCTCTTGAAACTGTTGACCAGAGGTCCCACAGATCTTTAAAAAACACTGGCTAGTAGGGCGTGGTGGTACACGCCTTTAATCCCAGCACTTGGGAGGCAGCAGCAGGCAGATCTTTGTGAGTTCAAAGCCAGCCTGGTCTACATAGTGAGTTCCAGGGCAGCTGGGGCTACAGGTAGACCCTGTCTCAAAAAGACAAAAAAAAAAAACAACAACAACAACAAAAAAACCCCAAAACTGGCTATTGCCCTGCTTGTTGGTTACTTACCAGAACTTGACAATAAGACCCTATTGCTGGAAGAAATCAAGCTGATACTGATTTCAAAGCTTTATCTCTACTGGCTAGCTTTATTATGCTGAAAGGTGCAATGCATGCTCCCAAAAGAGAAAAGTAATTATCAACCTTACCCAGCTGTGAGCCCTGTGAGCTACAATAACAAATGGCCTGGCAAGATATTCCTACGATGGGGTAGTGGCATGAATGTTATAGGAGTAAACAACTACTTTCTGTGCAGAGAAGAGACTGCAGAGTGCTTAGTCCTGAACAGAAGACTTATCTCAAGCCCTCGCCTCCCAAGGCTCAAGGATCACTGAAGAGAAAGCGGAAACACTGTAAGAGCCAGAGGTGGTGGATGACTACAAGGAAACAGTGTTTTCCAGATAGCACGGCAGTTACTCATATGAATTCATAGCAGTTGTGACTGGATGCACAAGACCTAAATAAGCTCAAGCCAGACAAATTCCCAGCACAGAGTGTGGGAGGTTGGTAAAAAGCCCCAACCCTAGCTGAGGAACTATTGGCAGAGGATAGCTGCAGAGAGAGACAAGGTTAGTTCCCTTTAGGAGTATAACACTACCCGGGCGTGGTGGTGCACTTTTAGTCCCAGAGGCATGTGGATCTCTGTGAGTTCAAGGCCAGCCTGGTCTACATAGTAAGTTCAGGTCAGCTGGGACTACAGGGAGACCGTCTCAAAAAAGACAAAAAAAAAAAAAAAAAAAAGAGTGTAACACTGGGCAGGCTGACCAAACTGCAGGGGTTGGACCCATGCCAATGGATATTTGGGGAACACATTTAGACTTCACAGGCCTTTAAAAAAGGGGGGGCATGAAATTTGGTGGAGGCAAGAAAGGGGGGATTGCAGATGGGAAGGGGTACTGATATAATCAAAATATGTCATGAAATTCTCAAAAATTTAATAAAAATATTTTTTAAATTTTATTTACTTGTATTTTATGTATATGAGTATTTTATCTGCAGGCACGTCCACCACATGCATGCAGTGCCTGCGGAGGATAGAAAAGGGTGTCAGATCTCCTGGAATTAGAGCTATTAGAATTACAGCTTTAGCTGTTGTGGGTGCTGGAAATTAAACCTGAGTCCTCTGAAAGAATAGTAAGTGTTCTTAACTGCTGAGCCATCTTTCCAACCCCAAGAAAAACATCAACTTCATCTTTTATAAGCCTTTTATATTCTAATACATCTTTTATAACCTATCATAAATTACAATTTTTTTTTTTTTTGAGACAGGGTCTCCCGGTACCTCCAGCTGGTCTAGAACTCATTAGACGACCAGGATGGCCTTGAATTCACAGAGTGCTGGGATTAAAGGCATGCACCACCACGCCCAGCTTTAAAATTATACTCTATTTTTGAATTATCTATTCCAGTCAAAATTTCAGTTAACAGGGTAGACGAGATGGTTCAGTGGGTAAAGGCACTTGCCACCAAGTTGATGATCTGAGTTCCATCTCAGGAACCCACATTAGAAGGAGAGGACTTCCTTGTGTCATGCAATGCCCTCAGAGGTCAGAAGAGGGCACTGGATTTCCTGGAACTGGAGTTACAGGTGGTTGTGCCATGTGGGTGCTGGGATTCAAATCCAGGACTTTTGCAAGAGCAGCCAGCACTGCTCTTCTCTGAGCCATCTCTTCAGCCCCAAGTTTTTAAAGAATTTCCTTTTAAAAAGTTTTTATTTACTTATTTATTTTTATTTTTTTGGTCTTTTTAAGACAGGGTCTCCCTGTAGGCCCAGCTGGCCTGGAACTCACTATGTAGACCAGGCTGGCCTTGAACTCGCAGAGATCCTCCTGCCTCTGCCTCCCAAGTACTGGGACTAAAGGTATGCACCACCACAACGGCTTAAAAAGTATTTTTTATGGGGCTGGAGA